GTCTAATACAGTCTTAGCATCTGCTTCTCAGCCCCCCATGCACCCACCTTACAGTGCGACCTATTGATTGGTATGGATCCTGGGTTGGCCAGAACAGGAGCTATCAATGGCTCCAGGCAACAGGTCAAGAGTGGGGGGGTTGCTGGTCCCCACTACAAGTGGACTGGTTTTTATTGGCAGCCCATCTTTGAGAAAAATGACTGTTTTATCTCTTGCTGCAGCCTGGAGCCTTTTTATCTTATTCTGGTGAAGTTCCTGATGTTTTCTTTAAAAAGATTTTTAAAAAGATGGTTTCCTTGAACTTTCAGAGGAAATTCAGAGGATTAATTTTTCAGATTCTCTGCTCACTCTGCCATGAGCTAGAAGTATTTTTTTTTCAACCTAATTTCTTTTTGCCAGCCCTTAGCGTGCTTTCTCTGGCTTCAAAGACTACCATTTGAAAAGTTCCCATTTGAAGTCTGTCAGTGATTCAGATGTGACCTTTAGGATCGACCTACTGGAGAACACCAATAGCTGACTTGTTTCTATTTCCCACACACACACCTGGTACAGTCAATTCAGACAAAGCCCCAGCATCCTAGACTGTATACTTTCCATCAAACCATTTTTATCCCTTTGGTTTTTTTTGGTTTGTTCAATTCAGCCATATTTTGGGTTTGGGTTTATCTTTGAGCATCACTGATTTTTTTCTTTTTTTTAATTTTTTTAAATTTATGTCATAACAGTTTATAACGTTGTGAAATTTCAGTTGTACATTATTATTTGTCAGTCACTAGATATATGTGCCCCTTTACCCCTTATGCCCACCCCCAACTCCCTACCCCTCTGAGAACCACTAATCTGTTCTTTTTGCCCATGTATTTGTTTATCTTCCACAAATGAGTGAAATCATGTGGTGTTTGTTTTTCTCTGACCGGCTTACCTCACTTAACATAATACCCTCAAGTTCCATCCATGTTGTTGCAAATGGGATGACTTTGTCTTTTTTATGGCTGAGTAGTATTCCATCTTCCACGTCTTCTTTATCCATTCATCAGTCGATGGGCGCTTGGGTTGCTTCCACATCTTGGCTATTGTGAATAATGCTGCAATGAACATGGGGGTGCATAAGTCTCTTTGAATTGTTGATTTCAAGTTCTTTGGATAAATACCCAGTAGTGGTATAGCTGGGTCACATGGTCTTTCAATTGTTAGTTTTTTGAGAAATCTCCTTCCTGTTTTCCATACTGGCTGTACCAGTTTGCGTTCCCACCAACAGTGTATGAGGGTTCCTTTTTCTCCACATCCTCTCCAACGTTTGTTGTTTTTTGTACTGGAAATTATAGCCATTCTAATAGGTGTAAGGTAATATCTCATTGTAGTTTTAATTTGCCACTTTAATTCTAGTCTTTTTTTTTTTTTGAGGAAGATTGGCCGTGCACTAATATCTGTTGCCAATCTTCCTCGTTTTTCTTTTTTCTCCCCAAAGCCCCAGTACACAGTTGGGTATCATAGTTGTAGAGTTGTGGCTCTTCTATATGGGACACCACCTCAGCATGGCTTGATGAGCTGTGAGTAGGTCTGCACCCAGAATTTGAACTGGCGAACTTTGGACCACCGGAGCGGAGCGTGTGAACTTAACAGCCAGACCACCAGGCCGGCCCCTAATTCTAGTCTTTGATCATCAGCAATGCACTGGATTCATCCAGGGTGTGTGCCTGAGACCCAGCCCCAAACAGATGCCCCAACTTCCTTTTTTGAAGCTCTTTAAATACAGACGTCTTTGCTCTTTGTGGTTCTTGGTTTTCTGCTGTTGCAGGTGACTTCTGTAAGCCAATTAATTGAGTCTTCCTCTTTGGTGTTGCAACGCTTCTCAGTTAGATCTGGATTGGGCTTTTGCCTGCTTTTCTCATCATTTTGGAAATTTATCTTGTTGGTTCCAAGAAATTATCTTGTTGGTTACTCTAGCTATTTTTTGAGATAGACCTGTGGATGTGCTGGCATATTTAGTCAGGAGGAGACAGCCCACCAGCTTGCTTGTATTTTAGGCATTCTAGGGTAGGAACAGTTAGACCTGGGCTCTATGCTGCACAACTCCAGGAGGCACCATGCACACAGACCACAGGAGTCTAAAGCTTTAGATATGAGGAAATACATTTTCCTGGATCTCTTGTGACATAAACCCATAAGAAAAGTTGACACATAGGAAAGCCACCAAATCAAGTAATGTATGTTTAATGTTTACTACATAGTGCTCAATGGATCACATACACACACACACACACACACACAGACATATATACACACATATATATATTTTTTCCCCTCTTTTTCGCTAGCAGTTAGAGAGGATTTGGGAATGACATTCTATATGGGGTCTTAAAAATATCCAAATCCTTCCTTCCAAAGGCTCCCAATGGAGCTGTAGTGATGAGAAACAACAGCAGAATAGGAATTCTCTTAGCAATAGCTGTGCAGCAAAGAAATAAGTCACAGGGATGTTTATTGTGGAATTTTTTTGTTTCCCAGTAAAACACTAGGAAATCTAAATGTTCTTCAAGAGGCTACTGGCTAGATGAGTTATGGCATATCCACACAATGGGATAAAATGGTGCCCTTAGAAAGAAAAAGTCGATTCATAGAGGCTGATGTGGAACAATTTCCAAGAAGCATTGTAAAGTGAAAAAGCAAGGAACAGAGCTGTGGGTGTAATATTTTCCAAATTTAAAGAAGAGTCATACATATACATATATATGTATGTATATGCATATATCTATGTGCATACCCTTGGAAAATTTCTGGAAAAAGTATGCACAAAACTGTTAACCATGGTTTCTTCTGGAAAGGACATCTGAGACCTTGGGGTACTATAGAAGCTACTTCCCTTTGTTCTTTTGTACTGTTTGAATATCTTATTGAGTGCATAGAATGCTTTTTTTTTTTTTTTGCTGAGGAAGATTTGCCCTGAGCTAACATCTGTGCCAATCTTCCTCTATTTTGTATGTGGGTTGCCACCACAGCATGGCCATCGATGAGTGGTGTAGGTCCACGCCCAGGAACCAAACCTGGGCCGCTGAAGCAGAGCGCGCCGAACTTAACCGCTAGGCCACGGAGCTGGCCTCTAGAATACTTTTTTAATTAAAAAAAAAACAACTAGTAAGCCCAACAAGTAGCTGCATTGGTCGCCAGAACAGGATTCTCTGTGAAAGACTACACTGGCGCCTTCTCCCTGCCACGTCTGCCTCTCGGATCTCAGCCCCCACTGCCAGGAAGTCATGGAGTGAGGGAGAGGCACAATGAGGCCAGGGCTGAACGTGCTCACCCGGCTGCCTGCTGGCGAGGCGGGTAAGGAAGAAGCCAAGCGTGAGTGACCTCTCATACGCAGCTCCCTGTGCCCTCAGGGACGTGTCACACTCAGCATCTAGATTAGTCACGCCAGCAGATCGAGCTCATCTGGACGGGAGAGAGTGGGTGAGAAAGGAGGGAGGTGGGTGGAGGTTTGGTCATGTATGAATTCTCTGCCCAGCAGCACTGGCTCTGGAGGCCCGGGCTGAACATCTCCTGGTTTCCATCTGCTCTTGGGCCACTGTTACGGACTGAATGTTTGTGTCCCCTCCCAAACTCATATGCTGAAACTTAACCCCCCAGCGTGATGGTGTTCGGAGGTGTGGCCTTTGGGAGGTTACTAGGTCTTGTGAATGGAGCCCTCACAAATGGGCTCAGTGACCTTATAAGAGAGACCCCGGAGAGCTCTCCTGCCCTCTTTCTGCCATGTGAGGATACAACGAGAAGTCAGCCCTGATCTTGGACTTCCAGCCTCCCGAACTGTGAGAAATAAATGTCTGTTGTTTATAAGCCACCCCATCTGTTGGTACTCTGTTATAGCAGCCCGAACAAAGAGAGCCACCTATCTTGATATAGAACTTCACAATAACATGCACCCCCTCACCCCCAAATTGGCCAGGCTTTCAAGTAACACCTGGCCACGGTCTGCCCCAGACCCTCATCTTTGGCCTGACTAGAAGCCCTGACTTGTGACCCCCTCTTTGTCTGCTGGCGCCCAGCCTCCCTGTGCGGCCACACCTGCAGCCTTGGTCCTCTTGTCCCTGAGACCAGTTCTAACTTTTTACCCATCTAAAGGCCTTTCTTTGCCCCGTGGAGACCTCAAGCCCTCACTTCATTTACTCTGGGAATGTTCTTTCTTCCATGTTTCTCCATTTTCTGTCTGGTTTTCCCCTGGAAGTAGCAAGAGGCTGCAGCAGCTCCAGATCTTATATCTTCCCAACTTCAAAATCAGAGAAAGAGCCTCAACCCCCTTCTTAGTAACCCAAGCAAGAGTTTTATTGCTTTTCATTGCCTCTGGGTGGGTCAAATGTCCATCCCTGAACCAACAAATGAACCAATCACTACGTCCAGGGGAACGTGATGTGCTGATTGTGACCAGCCCTACAGTCAGGGGTGGGGTCAACTCTGTCCAGTCTTTGGCATTGTGGGTGGGGGAGGGCAGAGGGACAATGCATAAAGAGGAGCTGGGTCCTGGAAACAGCATTTGAACCCCTGATCGAGCTGCAGCTCAAGACAGTCCTGCCCTAGTTTTCATGTTTTCAGTCACATGATATTCTCTCTTTGCTTAAACCAGTTTGGGTCAGGGTTTGTGTCTTTGTTACTACTTTCAACAGAAGGAGTTCTGATTGGAAAAAAAGGAACAGGCGTTCATGCACAGTTCATTTTTGTAAAAGAAAAAAGGTGTGTGTGTGTGTGTGTGTGTGTGTGTGTGTGTGTGTATATACAGAAAAAGAAGGAGAGTGAGTCTGGAATGATACACATAAAAAACTAACAGTGGTTATATCTGGGCAGCAAGATTAGAGGTAATTTTTCTTTCCTGTGTTTTCTAAGTGTTATTCAACAAGTGTGAATTGCTGTGTGATAAAGGGGAAGTGTTTTTTATTCTTGACAAAGTCGTTTGAATCCATCACTTTTAGAGAGCGAGAACTTCATCTAATCTACTGTTGACTTTGTAGGAGAGAACATGAGCCACAACGAAAGCCAGCACTGTTCCTTTAGTGATGTGGATGAGCTGATGAAAACCGTGCAGCTGGTGGTCCACATCCCCACCTTCCTCCTGGGCCTACTCCTCAACCTGCTGGCCATCCGAGGCTTCCGCACCTTCCTGAAGAAGAGGTGGCCGGATTATGCTGCCACCTCCATCTACATGATCAACCTGGCTGTCTTCGACCTGCTGCTGGTGCTTTCCCTCCCGTTCAAGACCATCCTGAACCACGTGCAGACTTCCTATCCTTCCTTCTGTACTGTGGTGGAATGCCTCTACTTCATCAGCATGTACGGGAGTGTCTTCACTATCTGCTTCATCAGTCTGGACAGATTCTTGGCCATCCAGTACCCGCTCCAGGCCAGCCACTTCCGGTCTCCCAGGAAGATCTTCGGGATCTGCTGCACCATCTGGGTCCTGGTGTGGGCCGGGAGCATCCCTGTCTACAGCTTCCATGGGCAAGTGGAAAACTACAAATGCTTCCACAACATGTCCGATGGCACCTGGAGTGCCAAGGTCTTCTTCCCCCTCGAGGTGTTCGGCTTCCTTCTTCCCATGTCCATTATGGGTTTCTGTTCCTCCAGGAGCATTCACATTCTGATTGGCCGTCGGGACCACACCCAGGACTGGGTCCAGCAGAAGGCTTGCATATGGACTATCGCAGCCAATCTGGCTGTCTTTGTGGTCTCCTTTCTTCCGGTCCATCTGGCTTTCTTCCTGCAGTTCCTGGTGAGGAATGGCTTCATTGTGGAGTGCGGAGCCAAGCAGAACATCAGCGTGTTCGTGCAGTTGTCCATGTGTTTCTCCAACGTCAACTGCTGCCTAGATGTTTTCTGCTACTACTTTGTGATCAAAGAATTCCGCATGGACATCATGGCCCACCGGCCCTCCAGGGCCCAGCTCGTCCTCCAGGATACCATGACCACCAGGGGCTAAGAAGAAAGACCTGCTCAAAGAAAGGAAATCCTAGCCCTGAATTCCAGTAGTGGATATCCTGTTTCAAGGTTTGGGATATAGCGGGATGATATGTGGCACATTTACTAATGTGCTTTCCCTTTTGATGCTCATGAACACTGTCTGTGCTACTTATGCCCCAAAGACCTTTCTCCGGCACCCAGACGGCTTGACATAAATCACCCAGTATTTGGGGATCTCTGAAGAACCTAAGAACCAGGTGAATTCTTGATTTCTCAGTCCAAAAAGCATGAAGCAGAAGAATTGAGAAAGAAAATGAGACCATCTGAACAAGGCTGTTTCCCAACTCTCTCCTGTCCTTCTGTTAGACTAGAAGATTCTGGAAGGGAAGAGACAAAGGAGTTAGGAAAGAGAATCAAGAGGGTTGGTCATTGGTGGAGTGGGTCCTGGCTAGAGAGGGAGCAGTAGGATGGATCAAGCTCGTTTTTATTTTGGGGATCCCAGGTGGAGCAGACTTGCACTTTCCGGTCCCTCTGGGCTCTGTTGGCCAACAACCTCGCAGAGATGACAGCAAGTGGGGGTGATCGAGGCAAAGCAAGTATGCACAGAGAGCCTTGATTTTCCTATCGGCCTTAGAAAGGCCTGGGAAGCCAGCCAGACCTTCCCGTGCTCACGAAAAGGCTGCAGAAGGACGAGGGGGGCTGGTGTAGAACAGGCTGTGGTGAAGCTGTGGACACTGTAGAAGCAGTGAGGACAGAATGGAAAGGTGTTGGTGACACCTGAGAGCCATGAGGGGACAGGATACATCTGGGGAGGGAAGGAGACAGGCCAAAGGCTGGAAGTGGACAGCCCCTTCCCCATTGCCATCAGGATGTCACTGCATAGAGTTTTAGCACTGGCCCAGGATGAGGAGAAGCAGTGGAGACCTGCCTGGGAGAGGAGAAATTGCTGAACGTGAGCAGCTTGCTATCCTGAACAGCCTGGGAAGTTGTTAATTAGGCTTAGTTTCCTTGAGAATGGTGAACAGGAATCAGGCTTGATTTGGTTTAGCCAGAGGAGAACAAGGAATGTGTGTTTGTCTTGCCCACCTGAGTCCTGGCTGGGCAGCTGGCCACGGTGGCACTGTTCACAGAGGCACTGCCCACAGAGCTGTCCCTCTCCGGTGGCTGGGAGGGAGAAAATGAGTCAGCCAGGAATGGAAGAACGTGCTTGATGGCACGGGGCTCTTGGTAGTTCCTACAAACAATTGAAATCTGTAAACAATTGAATCACAGCTTTGATTGGGCTTCTCTGTTGATCCAGAGAAGGAGCAGTAGCAACATCTGAAAGCTTCTGGTGACTTAGCTGCTCCGGAGAGTAAAGTAATTATAAGGATGAGCATGGGGTAGTTTTGCAAGACGGAGTGAGTGGGAGGAGAAGAAACAGATGAGACTTAATGTGAACAAGGGAAGGTCTTTAGGGAGAAAAGCAACCACTTTCTACCTGTAGGTTGAGAAGCTTCCACTGCCAAGTGGTAGATGGAAGGGAGGGGTGGCCGTGTGGCAGGGGAAAGGAGCGACTTAGATAAAACCTTGAAAGGAGGAAGAGGTGGAGGTTGGATGATTGCCCGAGGCTTGAAGCTTTGGGGCTCTGTGAGGAGGTGGGGGACGGGCAGGAAGGATGAAGGGCAGAGCTGCTTCCTGCCCAAGAATCCCCAACTTGACTGAGAGCCATCGAAGGGCAAGAGCCCCACCTTCTCCTGCCTCCCCCTCAGCCGACTCAGTGGTCAAGTAGCATGCTGTGGGGCTGGAGGGAAGGGTGAGGGAGAAAGTGTCAATGAAGGGGTGGAAATGATCATGACCAGGACCAGAGGCTCCTGCCCCTCAGACTGGCCTCTAGGAACCGGCCGCCAGAGTCAGGGGCTGTGCAGACCCAGAGATGAGTCCTGCCCAGCTGCTTCAAGGCCTGGACACCCCTTCTCCACCTATGGGCTGCACTGTCCCGTGGCCATCCTGGACAGAGGCACACCTGTGCTACCGTTAGAAAGCCAGGAAGCTGTTATATCCAGCAGGACATTTGGGCTGAATTAGGGTCAGAGCCCATGGGTGGGTGGAGTTGGGGACCACCCCTCCTCCAATTTCTCTCTTTGCATTGGGAGCTGGGAGCCCGCCTGGTGGAGTTGAGTGGCACCCTTCATGCTGCAATTGTATCTACTAGTGTGCTTAGGGCCAGGCAGGCTTCCTAAGAGAAAAGGGATGGCAGAGCTCTGATGATCCATCATCCCCAGTGATGTTCATAAACATAAAATCTTGTCTTATGGGCAGCATGACCTTGCTCTAGCCAGGTGACAGAGAGGGCGAGAGGGGAGTCTAGAGCCATGAGCTGTGTAACTATAAGATGTAGGTCCTTGGAAGTGTAGAGCAGTCTTGGGTTGATGTGACAACTGTGGATCTGACTGTGGGTGAGCCTTGGGAGCCTGACAGATCCCAAAACACTGGGGGGTGGAGAGAGGCCTCTTCTCTCTCCCCATGGCGACCCATCCTGGCCTTCAAGTTATAGAGGACTCATCAGAGTTCATGAGATTGGGCACAGGTCCAGCGCTGCAGGCCAGGCTGCTCCACAGGGGGGTCCACACTCTGGGCCCAAGCCCAGCCCGCAATCAACAGTCAAGCACAGAAGGGGCAGAGGGCCAGGATCAGGGTCAGGGTTAGTTAGGGTCCTGATGCATGCAAGGGCCCACTCCCACAGCAAGTGGCAGCCAGTGAGTTGGGGAACGCTGAACTTTGTCATGGCTGAAATTCCTGCTACTAAAGCTAGTGGAGGCTTGGAGACATTGTTTGGCCATAAACATGACCTTATTTGTATTCCTAGTCTGGAAAATCCTGAGCCATACCTGTTACATGTACATGCGTGAAACTGGCATAATTAATTGGAAAAAATGATTTGATTAATCTGATTTGCCCAATAAATAGATTCCAATGATGCTGTGTGACCCTGTCTTGGGCTACACTTACTGGCTCCAGAGAAGACCTGGTCTCTGATTGCCCTTTGCAGGTGATCCAACAATCCTGGTCTAAGGGACCAAGAAGGGACCAGGTGGAAGTAACCACTGGGACACCAAGTATGAGAGCCCAGGGAGCCACCCTCAGGCCTGCCCCAGGAGCATAGCTGGGGCCTGTCCCAGTGGCCAGGAGCCAGACCCTGCAGGGTCTAGTTGCAACTCTCCCCATCCACGTGAGTACTTGGTTCCCCGTGGTAGCAACTGGGCCGTACAGACCCCACAGGACCCGCTGTGGTCCCTCCAGCACTGAGTCCACTGCGCCCTGCTCCTTCCATCTTGTCTCATCACCACTATGACACTGGAGCTGCTTCCAAAGGCCCTGGCTCCTCTGCACACACCGTGTGGTCCAACATAGAGACCTGCTGACCACTAACATGCTGAAGACACAGGGCCAGTTCTCCGGAAGTCCTCCGCTGGTGACCCTCCATCTCTGACCACCTGTGGAGTGAGTCCAACTCTCCCAGGTTAGATCTGAGTTCTCCTTCATGGCTCCTCGCACGTGAATCCTACTAACCTATCCAGAGTTCCTGGAAAATGTGAACTGCTAGGTGCTGGCCTGGCCACCCCTTTCTCTTGAGTTCTCCACAATACTGAGCAAAGCCCAGTCATGGCCTGGATGCTGAGGGCTGACCAGGGACATCCTTGTTCCTTGACAGTTGCTATGGACTGAAATGTGTCCCACACAAATCCGTGTGTTGAAGACGTAACCCCCAGTGTGATGGTATTTGGAGGGGGGGTCTTTGGAAGATACTTAGGTTTAGATGAGGTCCTGAGGGTAGGGCCCTCATCATGGGATTAGTACCCTTATACGAAAACACACCAGAGCTCTTGCTCCTTCTCTCTTTTTCCACCTGCACACACTGAGGAAAGGCCACGTGGGGGCACAGGCAGAAGGTGGCCGTCTGAAACCCAAGGAGAGAGCCCTCAGCAGACATCAACCCTGCCGGTGCCTTGATCTTGGACTTTCAGCCTCTAAGACCATGAGAAACAAATCTCTGTTGTTAAAGCCATCCAGTCTGTGGTTTTTTGTTATGGCAGCTGAGAGCTAATACAGCCATCTCCTACTAACCCAGGAGCCACCTCACATCTGGGCCACGTCCCCTCAGGGGCAAGGACTGACTCTCCCTTGGGACATTGGCCCCTGGGGAGCATTTGACATGGGGAATGCTAGCCCACAGTGCATTTGTCAACTATATGCCTCTTGAGTCCCTCTCTGGGGACCCTGTGGAGCTGAAAGTCATTATTTTAACGCTATGTAGCTGCCACGGGATACTAATGACATTTGGAATAGTAAGATAGCAGCCTTGTAGCAAGTTGCCGCAAATAAACCATAATTGCAAAAACGCTTGAAATAGCTGAGAGCTGGTAGGCAACTGTGGAGACTAATAGAGGTTAAAAAGGATTTTGTTAATAGATCAGTGAGGAGAGAAACTGAGAAGAGCAATCCGTGTGGGTGTGAGGAAAGTCTGGTGTGCAGAACAGTCATGAAGTAGGAACAGAGGAGTCCCCACATAGCGACTGTGTGGAGATGGTAGAGATGCTCACACCAGACCACCCTCCGCTGATCCTAGAGGGTAGGCTGTGCTGAGGGCAATGACCTTCCAGGGCCAAGGAAAGATGGCCGAGGCCACCCTGAGAACCCCACTGCTGAGGGCACAGGGAACTCAAGACCCACAAAAGGGGAGCTTTTTTAGAGGGGAGGGAGCGCCCCCTGAAACTACATCTCAGCCACCTCTCTCTTTTTTCCTCCTGGAGCTGGCTTCTCTAGTGAGCCCAGGACACAGAGCCATGAATGGGCATCTGAGGGAGTGCATATGGCAGATCAAGGTGGACTCCAGGAGCTTGAAGTGGAAGGACAAACAGATGTCCCTCTGCTCTGGGTCAGCTTGAGCATTCCATCCCCTGCCAAGATCCTGCAAGACATCTCCTCCTCAGAACGCTGCTGCAGGAGGGGCTGCACGGCCTTTGAATGTGAGCCACGACCTAACGGTGGCCCTCCATGCTTTGAAGTCTCGGAGGTAGGATCTGAAGCACTGTCACTTCAAAGCGTGACATCGGTTCTGCTTGGTGGAGGGGCCCCGAGTTCACTTTGAGGCCTCAGACAGCCTTTGTTCTTGGGGCCTCGCTTGAGCAAGTGTAACCAAGACGGTCCCTGTGAGGGGAGGTTGTTGAGACCTGGGGCTCCACGGGGCACCTACAGTCACGCAAAGGCACCCTAGGGTGCAGCTGTGTAATGTCTCTGCAAAGCGTGTTCCTCTGCGAGAGACCTCTTCTCAAAGGACAGCTTTGGGCTGTATCTCCGTGCAGGCGGTGTTGCATGGACACGTGTGCCTGTGCATCTCGTTCAAGGCGTGTCTCACAGAGGATTGCCTGTGGAGGCCACAAAGAATTCAGGAAAGATATGCAGGGATCAGACCAGCCCTGGCGAAATCCAGACGATCCAAATAGCTGATTCTCATGAGAGAGAGGACGCTCTCTGGTGTCTCTTCTTGTAAGGACACTAATCCTATCCGATCAAGGTCTTACTTTTATGACCTTGTTTTACCTTATTTACCTCCTAAAGGCCCTGTTTCCAAATACAGTCACATTGGGGGTTAGGCCTTCAACAAATGCATTTTGGGGAACACAATT